AATAAGCTTGGTTTTCACAATGTAGTCAAATTGAACCTTTGTACTCCGCCCTTATGAGCACTGTTGTATAGTTTACCAAACCTTAATATAATTTTTAAGTATTCGTTATTTAATTGTTTCATGAATTACATTGTTCATTTTAAGTTATTTTCAACAGTTTTTAATATATGAGTGGTTTAAAAAGAACCAACTGAACCTTTACTCTGGCAAAGGTGTAAACAATAAAAAATAATAAATAAATAAATAAATTAAGTTGAAAATTAAACAATTTTACAAGAGATAAATAATTATTCCAAGTTGCTGATGATCAATTTTTGATGAAATACAAGATCAAGGTTTCATAATGTAGCTATTATTACCTAAAATTCCTCTAAAATTATAAATAAAACATTGAACCTGTTTGCCCCCTGGCCGTCCAGTTTTATCCTGCCTTTGGGGTAAAAAGACCAGTTGACAAATTTTTGAAAAACAGCAAATAACTCATTTTTACGATGATTTATTGGCTGGGAGTTTTACTAAACATAGTCAGATAGTTGTTTGTTCGATATGTATTATTTGTTGTGATATAATTGACTTGGTTTTTACAATATAATTGCTAAGTTAAATTGTATCTTGTACCCCGCACTACACATAGATAAATATGTAAGTATAAAGTAGTTGGCCCTACTATTTATTAAAGTTATTTTTTAAACTAATGGCTGACCTGTATGTAATGCATTTCTCAACTATTGAATTTTAAATATTTTTATTTTATACCGCAACAAACTATATTAGGTGAAATTTGATATTTAGGATGCCACTTGGCGCTTTTAAAAATTTACCTTTATGGAAAATTTCTTTGGATCATCATCGCCAACAGTGATTTTAACTTAACGCACGTAGTAAACATAAATTCTCATTATAATAACATCGCTTCTATTAATTGCTCTATTTTTTATCATAGAAATACAAATGTGTTATTATTTCTGCAGAATATCGTCTATTCAAATAAAAATATCTTAATTAGGTCGGCCAGCATAGTTATGCCACTGTACAATAGACAGAGATTGCAAAGAAAGATAGCATATGCAAATTCACGTTTATAGTATATACAGTGTACATTCTGAGTATCACAAAAGGGTATCAGAGAATATTTTATATCAAAGATTTTATCGTATTTATGGCATCGTATCATTATTTGCTCATCTAACAATAGTAAGGATGAACAACCTGGACGAACGAGGTGAATGCACCAGCGGTCGGCAACTGGATGCTTCCAAAAAATACATATTGATAAAAAAAATGACATGGAATTGGAGCAGTTAAGGGAATGATATGAGCTGAGAGGGATAAGGAGTCATTTTGTCGCTTTACTTAAAATTACATGTTTTAATCACATGGACTTCTTTTTGCATTTCACCCAATTATCATTTCTACAATTTTTGCAGGCTTTATAAATATAGTTTTATAAAACATATTTCATTTTCTTTCTGAAAAAGAAGTTTGTTTCAAGCCATTCTGAATCGAATGAGACCAAATTTGGAAAAAAGTATGTGTGTGTGTGTATGTGAACAGATTTTTTGCCATAAATCGACGTTTTCTTAAAAATGGCTGGACCAATTTCAAAATTTAAAAGCTTATCGATGTATCTCGATGAGGACTAGCGTTTCTCAATTTTGTGCGACGATCGCCGATCCGTTTCTTTGTAAATCGCAGAAAAGTGAAAAATTATTCGTCCACGTTTTAGTCCGCAATTCTGAATCGATTTTGAAAATTCAAAAACCGTTCGAAAGATATTGGTTGGGAATCGTGCTGATTAGTTTTGGTTAAAGATGCTAAACGACACTATTGAGAAACTAGTTCGAGTTACATCTTATAATTTAACAATATATAAATATTGTGTGAATATAGAAAATGCATGTTTTATAAAGAATATATTTTTTTAATAAATTTGTTTTTTATAGTTTCCATTTTTTACTTTGTAAAATGTTTTTATTATACTTAAATTGGGGTAAAAAGAAATAAGTAAAACTTACACTGGCAAAGGTGTAAACAAGAATAAAATCATAAATAAAAATAAAAATTAAGTTAAAAAAAGCAATTTTATAAATTATGAATTAAATTTTTAGTTATTCCAAGTCTGTCGATGAATATTTCTAACGAAATACCAGATCGTCAAGGTTATATACAGTGATATCTTTGTCAAAAATGTGCCTGGGAAATATTTTTTGTATTAGTTGAATAATGTAGCTATTTTTTCGTAATATTCCTTTAATATTCAAAATAAAGCATTCGAACTGTTTGCTTTCTTGCTGTCTCTTATTACACCTCTTGTAGGGTAAAAAAAAAACAGATGATTAATTCTTGAAAAATATTAAACAAAATATTTCTATAATTAGGAACTAACTGATTAATGAGTTTTACTCAATATAGTTGGTTGTATGATATGTGTTATATATTGTGATGTAATCCATTTATTATAGACAGTACATATAATTACTGAAAGTTAATTTGGACCTTTGTACCCCTCTCTACCCTATTTAATTGTATTGAATTATCTAAAATTAAGTCAGTAATTTTTTCATTATCTATTGGATTATACACCTAGTATGAAGCAAAATTGTGTGAAGGGTGAATTTAGAAAGTACTTGAAACTAACAGAGATGTTCTGACTGAGGATAAGTTTTTGTAAAAAAATCTTAGATTTTTTTTCTCTGAATAGTACGCTGATATTTGATGATAGCATTTCTTCCTGGTAATTGGAATACACTTGTAGTCGTTCTCGATATATGATTCAAAATATGTATTTTTTTCAATTGTCTAAAAATATTAAATTATAAAACAAATTTTGTTTTGTTATTAACCTTTTGCACCCGTATGTCAGGTGTCAAATGCTTAATTACCGTACTTGTGCAAAAGGGCTGAAAACTCTGTATAACTTTATGAAAATAAAAAAATCAGTCTTGTATCAGAATCTGATTATCGTGTGAATTTTTTCACAGTTTGATAAGACCATGTAAAGTTTGCTTTACCTAGAAACCGTAATACCGTACAAAATGCAACAATAATGTTCCCGTCTAAGAGAACCATCCCATGCACCGCGCTCATGATTCTTTTTTAAATTAATGTGTCAAATGTCATCGTTGAGGTTTGCCGGGCTTTCATGTTTGTCTTTTTATTCCCGGTTCTATTATTCTCATGTTGACATTTTCGTTATGAATGCGAAATACTTTGAGCCGCTATTTCTCGGTTTACTTTGCATTAGTTTTGACGTTTCGCATATATATTGCATGTTTGCGGGCGCGAATTTCGCGGACGACAAGAATAAAAAACATCGACGTACAGAGATGTCAATTTTTGCAATATTTTAACGGATACAAGCACGGCTGCGAATAAAAGTTTTTGTATTAATTTTTTCTCAAAGTACGGAAGTTGCGATGTTTATATTAATGGGTAGTAGTACTGCGCTAGGACAGGTCTGTAAGCTGTAGTGCAAGAGATTTTTCTATTGTCATTTCAAACCGCAGTGCCCGAAATGAGCTATTTATAATGGAAACATATTTATATCTATATTTGCATGAAAAAATGGACATCACTACTGCACGATGTCAGGTTGTCCTATTACAACTTACGACTTCGTTCTCACGAGTCCGTATGAGCTCAACTAGAAATTAGTTTAACTAGAAACTTGATTAGAAAAAAAATCCCATATAGTTTCAAAGTTGTGATATTTTAAGTGTAGCCTAGTATTCTGGCGAAAATGTGACTATTTTTCTGTTATTGTGATTAATTTTCTATAATTTTGTTCAACTTAGCTTTGGATCCGTCATCAAAAAAAACTACTTTAAATTATTTTTTATTTTGTTTATTTTATATTATGTCAAAAGTAGTGATACAATTGCCCAACGTTTTCAAGAAATAAGACTGTTTGTTTGTTAAGTCTTAACCATTGAAATATGGTAAATAACTTGATACTTCAATAATAAAAAAAATTCGAGTAAAAATTGAAAACTTAAAGTTGGACTAAACCTGAACTTATTAATTAAAGTTGATCAAATTTGGAAATTTTAAATTCCTAGTTTAAGAAACGATGTTAATTCTGAAAACTTTGGGCGAATGGCGAAGTATGGGCAATTGTATCACTGTTTTTAATACTGTAATTAGAGAAATTTTATTGTTGATTACGGATCCAAAACTAAAATGAACAAAAAATGAATTAAAAATTAAGTTAAATTAAAAATTAATCGCAAGAACCGAAAAATAGTCAACTTGTCACCAGAGCTTTAGGTTGCACTTAAAAGCTCACAACATTCAAACTATATGACATATTTTTTCTAATTTGTTTTATGAGAGTTATGATCAATACTATTATCTATATCACACACACATACATCCGTTATATCACCCTGTTTCGACATGACGTTGATTTTTGAGACACCCTGTATATCCAAATCAAGCATCAATTAGAAAACAATGTAATGTACATATTTCAAAGATGGTTTTTGCAAAAAAGTTTTAAGTTTCGATATGAACTTAATATAAGTCTTATTGTTAGTATAAATGTGATATGACAAATTAAAAATGCATAAAATAGCATTTAGTTTTTTAAATCAAAAATTATATTTGAACACTAATAATGTTAAATTATTGCAAATAATTCTGTGGAACTTAAATTATTATTATATTAAATGAATGCTAGTAAATGTATTTACAATAATATGTATTTGGTCATTAACTACATAGTTTTTTCTAACTCATGTCTTTCGAATAGTATTTTAATGCTACATTTGATGTCAACGATACAAGCAAATCAGATTTTTTGTCGAAAACAAACGTCTTCTTTATGTTAATTAAATATAAATAGATATACATTTTAAAATATTCTAAAATGAATTAAAAAATATGAGTTAAATTCAGAAAATTAAGTTTCTATATATTGTATTTGAATCTCAAATTATTTATATAAATTAGGAAAATGTAATGAAACATTTTCTTAATCCATTCTTGTTTTTTTTTTACAGATTTTCTACAAGATCAAATTCAACTATCATATCAATATTGGATGGATTACTGTTTTCAAATTAAAGGTATGTTGTTTTTTTATAATCGTTGAGCATATATATAGGAAGTATTAATAATTATTTTTTGTAGAATGTGAAGTTTTGCGTTTTTCATGACGCAACTACTTATTCGAAGAAACATGTGCATAATTGTAGTTTTTTAAATTTTCTAATAAAAATATTTATTAAGCCACTTTTGAACAAAAGTATAATTTAAATATATTGCGAAACCATATAAACTTCTGCAAAAATTGCAAATATTTTCACCATTAGTTACTAAAATTATTCTATTTTCAAAAATGCTCTTTTGATGTCGGCTTTTGATGTAGATTTGTGTCTACAATTTACATCTCACTTCTTACCATACATTATTCCAAGTGAAATTAATATTTATCAAAGATTCTTAGCCTTTTTTTAAAATATCTGAATAATTCTTATATAGTTGTTTATATATATATTTTTTATTAAATGATTTAAATATGTTTGTTTATTTAAATATATAAAGCAGAAATAACAAATAATGTAAACAGATCTAACTTTACATTTTTCATTTCGCATGGAATATTAAATAAATAATTCGTTTTTCCTATGTTTACATTGTTATTTCCGATTTTACTGAACCCATATCGAAATTTCAAATGCAGCATTTTTCGGATTGTATGTTTAGAATGTTTGATAACGTTTGCTGAAAGCTTGCATTATTTATGCTCAATTTTGCGTATATTGTGCTTTTGCATTTTTCAATATCGTTCAAGCACCACTTTAAGCATTTTCCGGTACTTCGATGAAATGTGCTGAAAAGAAATTGCCGTTATTGATTTTTATGCTGACTATGAATGAAGAGCTCACTTGGGGTAAATGGTAATTGTTAATACTACTGAATTATAATATGTAATATATTTTGTAGTAAATCAAACTGAATAAAAGCAATAAAATTTTCAAAATTCAACACTAACATATATAAAACGTTTTGCATCTGAAACTCATCTTATTCTATATCTCCTGTTTATTGTTAATTATTTAGTTATCAGTTATTTATTTACAATTTTTAACAAATTTATTAATTTGGAAATGTGTTTATTAAAAATAAACATCGTAGAAATGTATAATACTACATTAAAATTAAGTTCGTTTTACAAAATACAAATTGTTCTCTTTGTCTAATTCGAATCGCTATATATATATTACACCATAGTTTCCCAAACTATTTTGTGTCGTGGACTTCTTGGCCTTTACCATAGACTCCTAAGGAAACTGAATATTTTGAAAACAATCGAGATTTTTGTAACTCATTAACGTTTAATCAATATACATATTATATTGAACATGAAGTACTTAAAATGATTTGTAAAACCCCAAAAATATCTGCATTACCCGCAGTTTATTTTTGCAATTAAAATTATTAATATTATTTATTTCTAAGAATTTACTTCTGGTACTTCTAATGTAGATTTCTGTCCACAATTTAAGTAAGAAATGATAATCTAATTTTGAAGAAATAATATTCTTCTAAAATGTATAGAAAAATAATGCATTTTACATTTTGCATACGCATGATGGTGTATGCTAATTTTCTTTATAAAACCAGAAAAATCTAGGAAATAGAAGCGAAAATCTATTTAGAAAAAGCCATTTTTCATTTCTATGATTAACTTAGTGATGAATATAATTATCTTACCGAGTTGTAGGTATAGCACTATTAGTTTGAGAATTATTCTTAGAATACTTACTACTGATAAAAAATATAAATTATAATGGGAAAGTCGTAAAACTGTCCATACTTCAGTGAAATCTTTCTTAATAAATTATTCCGTCAATTGTCATCGGAATTATGATTTATTAGCATACTTATAAGGTATTAGATACGGTTATTTGCTATGTCATATTTTTGTTTCAGAAGTGTTTATGTTCAGAAGATACAATTTATGTATTCAACTGTATAGACTTATTGACTATATCACTATTACTACATTTTTTGATTTTAAAGAAATCTAGTTCTGATTTAACATACGCTATCAAAATTATTTTTTGATAAAATCATGAATTCAGCATCTAAATTATAGCCGTCGTCAATCTTTACTTTCCTTTACATGGAAAACATGTAAACTTTCTCTAAATTTCCAAAAGTGACTAAGATATAATGCTGAAAAAGATATATGTTCGGCATGTTAGAAAAAATAATACATTAATCTCTATAAAAATACAGAGAATTATGTTAAACAACAATCAAAGAAATATTTTTATATGTAATCGTAATCTGTAGTATCTGTCTTACCTATAAAAATATTTTTGATTTTAAAAACCTCAAAGATTTCGTTTCTTAAACGGCACAGTTGCGGCATTTGTTTTATTATTCTTATTATAATTATTCACTAGGTACAGGGTGAAGTAATTATCTGATTCAGGCATTTTTTTATTTAAATTAAGATTTGTACTACAAATTAAGGTTACATACTTAAAATCTAATGACATTCGAAAAACAATGCTTTTCAGTTACTTACGCATACAACAGGTTCTCTATGCATGGGGCACAACAACCAATCACAATCGACCCAATGAGTACATTTATGGCCGATAAGGAACGGTTTGTGTAACGATTTGTTGCACATTTCCGTTGCATTTTCGCTGATTTATTCCCTAGTCGCGCCTAAAGAAGTTTTACTTCAATTTTTTTTTATTAACTGCAATGACTAAGTTCATTCAATTGTTCACTCTCAGGCTTATATAGAGTATTTATATTTGGGTTATTTTGAAAAATTCTCATCTTCATGTCAGTCCCATAGTTTACACATGATATATTATAATTGTATTACTTTAATCTTGTAGCTAAAACATCATTTCAAACATCTGCTAAACACACTTCAATATAAAAGTGCATCATCATTGAAGATTCTGTTATCAAAAGCTTCTCTATAGAGCAGTTCTGTACATCGTATTCTCAGATTTCTTCGTATTCAGGACTCTGAAGCGACGATGTATCTCAAAAAACTTGAAAAGCCAAACGAATTTGCCAATGTACGTTTTTCCAATAAAATATATAGGATTACTGCACTTCGTTTCTCGGACGTGTGATTTCGTCCAGTAAGTTGGCAGAAAATGACGAATGACGAAATTGGAAAGTAAACATTTTTGAATTGAATATTTATTTACTCTAAACTAGTTTACTACTACTGAACTAGTTTAAAGTTATATAATAATATTATTACCAATATTATCCAATGCAATATTGACTTGGGTAACATTAACTTTTTTTTAATAAAAACACTGATTCACGCGTTCAATTCATACAGATTATAGTCAAATTGTGATAATTGATGGCGTTAATTATATTCGCGTGTCTAATTTTCATCACCATATAATGATATAATATTATATTTGTTAAAATATTTGCAGCAGAAGAGGTTTTCCAAAATTCAGAAATCATGATGTAGTGCCTTTGATGATTTTAAACATTAGAATAGATATTTAAATAAGGATATATACAAATTCTTGCAATAAAAATTTATGAAAGCTAAACAAAAAATATTATAGGGTAAAGCAAGGCTTAAAGGTCTTAAAGGTCCGCTTAAAGGCGGGTAAAAAAGCCTACCACCAATATCTAAAACAAAACAAGTAAAGTTAAGAATTTTTTAACATTATTTGAAAGTATAGGCAAAACAAGTGTAATCAGCCAAATTGAGTTAAAAAATGCATGTTGAAAAGAGAAATTAAATTAATAGTTATGTCTACTCTGCTAATACATATTTGTGATGAAACACCGCCGTATCCAGGTTATGTACAACAATGTTAACCCTGAAAAAAAAATTTATGAAATTTATATATTGCATTCGTTGAATAATGTAGCATTTATTTCGTAATATCTCCTTAAATTTAAAATTAAGAGATAAGATCACTTTGCCCTCCTGGCTATCCCTTATTGTTTTTTTTTTCTTACTAGTCTCGTTTTGTGATATTTTACATCAAAATTAATTTTAACAACTTTTTCATGTATATAGTTCGGATATAAATTTGCCATTTGCAATAAGTACATACATAAACATAACGACTAAATTTATTTTTTTGTCAAAACAAATAGAATTATGCAAACTTTCTATCAAGTAAAAATAGCACATAATAAACTAATCGGTTTATATAAGCTTAGTAAATAATAATTATCAATCTCTACAATAATTGCTAGAGCAAATGAAACTGATTTGACTTGTTCATTAAGTGAAAGTCGTCCTGTTGATCATTTAATTTTATTTATTAAGAAAATTAGTCGTTTGCAATACATAATTTACTACATTCTATTTCCGTGGTTTAATTTTTGTTGGCAAATCTACGTATCAATCTGTAAATAGGAATTTTATTTGATTTTAAATCGCAAAGAGAAATTTTACTTCTTAAACAAGTATTTGCATATCTTGTGTAAAATTGGAATGCTGAGTATTTCTCTTGTAATATATATATATATATATATATATATATATATATATATTTAAACAAGTAAAAATATTTCTCAAAGAATGAATGAATTAAACGCTAACTAAAAATTAAATTGAAATTTGACTAAACATAGGTGTTTTAATTACATAGAACTCCTATTTGAAAAATAAAATGAAATTTAACATTTCAAATAGTATTTTATAAAAGTATAATTGTATTTTATAAAGTATGTTGATACATAAATACTTACACAATTTCTATAAATAGCAGCTTTGGTAATTCAGACTAAGTTAAACGAATAAATTGCCCAAATGATCTCTTATGTAATTTCCATTATCTGAAGGCAATAATTTTCCATTACTTTTTTGCAAAAAATTGCCTAATTTTAAAATATTATTAGTACTTTTTTACAATAATTATAATTTTTTATATACAATATTTTAAAAATTAAAGAATTGAAAACTTAGGTATCGAATCTTCTTAGACATCTTACTCAACTCTGAAAAAGAAAGTTAGTAGCACTTTAAAAAAAATCTATATAATAATAGGTATTTGAATTCTAAATAGTTTTGGAAAGCGTAATTGAATTTATTTGTTTGTTG